GAGGGAACTCAGGGTGAACACTTCTCATTATTAAGCTGTATATTTTTGTTTCATTGCCATTAGTTTTACTTTCTTATTTTGTTGTTACTTGCAAGTATCATGTTAATCTCATTTGAAATCGTTTGCTATTACATAAACTTCTAACGGAAATTTCTAAGAATCTAACTTGGTGAAACATAAGTTTACGATTAGCAAGGTTAAAGTTCACATTATTATTAAGTTCCAAAAGCAATTCTTGTTTACTTATATATTTCACATCAGTAACACTCTCAAAGGTCTGCAGTGACTTGTCAGAGAATCACAATGCATTAGATTTTGCATGTCACTTTCTTTAGAAGAATGTAAACACATTTTGAAAACTCTTCTAACATATATTGATCGTGGGTCTTCTGGGGGCAGCTTTCTCACTATTTTGCCTTTCAGACACTGCCACACATCCATATGGCTAGTGCTAACTATTTTTCAAATATTTTAATGGTGGGAAATCGCTCTTGAGAATATCTGACTAGATGTGCTAGTGAGGTCACTATAAGAAAGTTGTTGTCCGAATTTTTTAAAAAAAAATATTTATAATCCCTACAACAATTTTCAAAGTTGCTTTCTCCCCAACAATTTTGTAACTACCTTTACAATAAGCTTCAGCTACCCCAAACTAACCCTAAATTTTCAGTATAATTTAGTGCCGCTTGAATTCACCTAGATCTCAAATAAACATCTATCACTTCTCTCTCAATCTCAAATCCACTTTTATCAATCATCCATTTATATGATGTTTTCTCTAATGAATATCTAAGCCTTTGTTCTGAGATCAATTGTCATTTAATGACTATGAAGTAAACCATAATGCATAACTTATTATAGACCATTATTTCATATAAACCCTAACTTTTCTGTTAATTTAATTTCTTTGAAAAGTTTCAACAATTATTTCTTTGTGGCCCTGGATTTAGGGATCTCTTTGAATTTTCCTATGCTTCTTACTACAACTCGGTTGGTTCATTGGGTTAGGCCTCTGGATGGTAATTTCAAGCTGAATGTGAGTGCTATGCATAATTTCGAAAATTTGGGGATTGGGGGTATCATCATAGATGGCTCTGGTAAGGTTTTAATTAGTTTTGTGGGGCCTTTTGATAGGAGCTATTATTTGGCTATTTTTGCTGCTATCCTTCATGGTTTAAATTGGTGTTTGGCCCTTGGTATTGTCAATATTATTATTGAAACTGAGACTAATTTTCACATTCAGTGTTTATTTAATGATTGAAACTTGATGTGTCATCCGGAGGCCTTTTATACTATTAGAGACATTAGGATTTTGATGAATTCTATCAATGTTCACAATTCCTTTATTTAAAAGGAGGCTAATGCTTGTGCTACCTGGTTGGCTTGTTTTGGTGCTGGTAAGGCTAAATTGATTGACATTGTTGGTAAAAATGCTCCTGCTGCTTTGAACGGCCTCATCAATTTGGATAAATGTTCTTTTCCTTATGTCAGAATGTAATTTTCTCGTGTCTCCTTCTCTGGAGTTGCTATGGTGTTTTGTTTTTCTGCTCCATTTCCTCTCGTGGTGTGGTATTTTTTCTGGGTTGGTTCATCGGATTAAGCTCTGTGGGGGTGTTTTGAACTTTGACTTAGCTGGTGTTTTTGGGGTTCTATTGTTTTGTTGGATAGTTTTTGTTAGTTTGCAGTTTAATTTTGAGTTGGATAATCTTCTTCTGGGTTGGATCATTGAGGATTATGTTAGTTGGTTGCGGTGCTTTCTTTTGAATTCTAGCAATTGCTCCTGTGGGGATTACTGGTTGTGTTGTTTTGGTGTTTACTGGCTCCTTTTCGTTCTGCTGGCTCTCAGTGTTTTCTGGAAGGGTTTGAGCAGGTGGATCTGGACTTCTATGGTTATGTTGGGGGGTAATTGTTTCAGCCGGGTTTGCTGGTTCTGTATGGAAGCTAATATGTTTTCTAAGAATTACTTGTCTCTTTGTAGGGATAGTCTATATTTCAGCCGCCATCGGACATTATCTCATTGAAGTATGTACGTTTTTCTGTGCTTTTATCCTTCTATTTTAAATTTTGTTTTGCAGGATCCTTTTTTGGCAGATTATAGTTCGCATCAGTTTTGGATCTTGGAGCAAGACCTGAGACTTTTTTTGGGTTACTTCCTTAATTTTTGGGTGCTCATTTTTGAACACCGTAGAATGTATCTAGGAAATTTTATATTTTGGCTTAGAAGGGAACTTGAGCTCTTAGGTTTTTTGGTTTTTTGGCTTGTAGCTCGGCAGAGCGTTAGTAGAGCTCGAGGTCCCTTTAAGGATTTTGTAATTTTGCCATTTATATCAGTGCGTAGACCCACTGTGGGTTTCCCCTAAAAAAATGAAGAATTTCAAGGAGAACCAATACAACAACATCAAGCCTTTGTCCCAGTACGTGGGGTCGGCTAAACCAATAACAAAGACAAATCGCAATAATTCTCTCATGTCCTTTAAATCATCTAGAGAGCAAACTAAAGACAAACAAGTATTCTCTCAATAAAATCTTATTTATGGAACATCACAATAATAAGATTTGTTGCTCAAAAAGGTAATTTCTCATCTACCCTTGGTGCAAATAAAAGGAATATTACAACTTGGAAATAGATTTGGGAGCATAAGGTCATTTAATCTTTATCATTTTAAAGACTTGAACTCAAAATAAAGATTGAAATTGAGAAGATGTGTTCAAGGATTTACCTTCTAAAAAATGATCACTCAAGTACAAACTCAAACAGCATGTTGTGTATCCACCAAAACCCCTATTAAAATTCCAATCAAACATCAAATCATGATAGTAATCGCTGGCTTTAGCTTTATCTCCTAGGACACCTAAACTTTATTTTTCAGTCTCTATTCAACAACAAAAATTCAAAGGAATTTCAATGTGAAATGTTTCATTTATCTAAACTCTTCCATCCCAGTCAAGCCTACAAACCTTTTTAATTTTTTCTTAGTCCATGGTAATGTGTGGGTCTTTAGAGTTAATAACGCTTATATTCAAATCATTAAAGATATGTATGCATGAGCTATTAGTTGTGTTCAAACACAAGGTGATTTGACCAAATATTTTCCTATTTCGGTTGGATTATATCAAGGATCAGCCTTAAGCCCATATCTTTTTGCTTTAGTCATGGATGTTCTCACTAGACATTTGCAAGAAAATATACCTTGGTATATGTTTTTTGCTGATGATATTCTTCTTTTTGATAAGACTAGAGAGGGAGTTGAAGGTAAACATGAATTATGAAAGTCAATCTTAGAATCTAAAGGTTTTCGCTTGAGTAGATCTAAAATTGAACATATGGAGTGTAATTTTAGTAGCAATAGACCTACTGAGGGGATTGTGACTTTGAGCTATCAAGTCATTAATAAGAGTACACGTTTTAGATATCTTTGATCTATTATTCATAGTGATGGTGAACTAGATGGGGATATTATCAGCAGAATTCAAGTTGGATGGTTGAAGTGGAGAAATGCATCGAGCATGTTGTGCGATAGAAAAGTCGCCCTCAAACTTAAGGGAAAATTCTATAAGATGGTGGTGAGACCTGCAATGCTTTATGGTGTTGAATGTTGGCTATTAAAAGGGAAGCATTCAAGTTGGATAGTTGAGGTGATGCATACAAAAATGTTAAATGTCCAAGCCTTTGGGATGATATCAAATAGTTGAAAAGTCTAGACCAAATAAACATACTATTCATTTGTCTAGTAACATGAACATTAATCCATCTTTTAACCATTGAATATTTACTACCATATAGAGACACTTTCAAACCTACAAATTTTCCAGTAGATATCTATGCAACTGCAGTTTATGCATCTCAGGCAATCTAGTTCCTCCACCAACTCCAACTACATTAAATGTTAAGAGTATATTTTGTTAGATGAGTTTGCATGGGTTCCTTAATGCGACCATCAATTCCTCATTCAGTTGTTGCATCGACTAACATTAGAGGATTCATAGGTGACACATAATGAGCTTGAACTCTCCAATTCTATTTGATTAATTTCTCTCTCATAACCCTCCAAAGGAGAATTCTTCATACCATTGAGGGATTGATGGCCATGGAGCTAATTATTGATCAATGATTTTTTTTACCGAAGTATAATTCTCTCCAGCATCTATCCTCACTTCGCTCTATCTCCCTCCCAAATTTTCTCTATTTATTTCTTCCTCACTAAATTTATGAATATCTTTCTTGTTAACCTCCCTCATGAGACCCTCTCCCCTCATACAATTTTCTAATGGGCCTGTCATTTTTCTTCGATTCCCCGCACACTATTCTCTCTCCCCTGAGATTCCTTCCCAAAATCCCCCATTGGTTGTCAACTCACTCTCCTCTCTCATTCACAATATCTACCCTCTACTTCAATTTCAATTTCCCCTCTTTCTACATCCCTTTATATTCTTTCTCCTGTCTTACGGTTAGGCTACTGCTCTCCACATACCTCCACTGATTTGTGAACTAAATTAAGTTGCTATGCTCTGAACATGAAATCCATTCGTTATGGACAGCTGAATCAGTCAATCACAGCATCTTTAAAACCCATGTAAACTCCCAGCCATCTACCATTTCAGAAAGCTCTGCTTAATCTTTCCAAAGACAGCCTCTGAAATTGAGAATATTTCAAGTGAAATGATTCCATTATTCCTGCTGACAGCTGCATTTCCTTCATTTAATTCTAAAACTGAAATATGGAAACTGCTTGGGATTGCAATGCAACTACTACTGTAGTCACTCTAGTCATCCATCATGTTAGACTTCGTGTGATTGAAAAACTTGCATAAACAGCTTATTAGTTAGAAAAAAACAACTCCACTAATAAATGAAAGCCACAGATGGTTTACAGAAAAGGCGATAGCAACACAAAGTATGAAGAAAGTACCTAAGAAGACCAGAGCACAAAATTTAGGTTTGGAAAGAAAAGTTTGCAATATTAGAATCTAAACAAGCTCTGGAAGTACAATCAGCTGACCTCAATTGAGGAACTAGCAGCTTCTCGAACACTAAGGTTTGGATCATTAAGCAATTGCAGAACCTACAAAGCAAGGACAAAGTAAGAAATTAAACTGCAGCACTTTAGTTTTCATGAATCGACACCATTAGCATCTCATCCATATCCCAACTACTCATGTCAACTATATAGATTTTTCATCAATAATATAATAAAACACATAAAAGATATAAATCATAAACAAGTTAAACATGACATCTTATAGAGAAATGGAAATAAGAATTTGCAAGAGTGCAGCTAAAGTAAAATATATACATACCGGAGAAAGTAGAACTCGTTGCAAAGTAAGTTCTGTGGAAGCAAATAGGCTAACTGCAGTGCTAACCGTACGTGCAAACTCTTCTCGAACTCGCCAGCTTTTGTGGGTCCAAGCATAGGCTCCAGCCCTTTCAACAATAATTGTTGGTGAGGATACCTATGAACAAACCTCTCAAACATTAGAAATATTAATTCATTAAAAATTAAAGAGAGTACTTAAGCTGGCTATCTTAACTATGAATAGTATAATGCCATCATAAAAAAAGTTAATAAAATGCCATACACGCACTTGGATGTTGCAAAATATTGCTCTGTCTCAACATATAAATTGACCAGTAGGGAAAGACAATGAAAAGACAACTTAAAGAGTTACAAAGGAGCAAAAGAGGAAAGAAGACAATAAATATGCGAAAACATCCAAACTATTCATACATAAATATAAATGAAAAGATCACAAGGATTTTATCATTGCTAAACAGAACAGAACAAACTTTTTTAAACACCTAGGACACCCAACTACACAAGCTTTGTACAAACGATTGGTAAAGACATAATCCACAGTGGCTACAATAATTAAGAAATAAATAAAATGGCCCAGCTATGCATGTTTGCAAATAACTTGATTTTCACAGATGAGCAATGGATAGAGGAGGAAGAAAAAGAGTTCATAGAAAAGGCAAGGAGCTTAACTTGCTCTGATATGCAGGTAGCGATGGCCAATATTATCAAATAATTGTTATTTTCTGAAAATCACTCATAGCACTTCGGCTATGCAGATGAACAAAACATGGAGCTAGAAACAATAACGAATAGTACATCTTAAGCTAACAGAAGAATTCTATTATGACAATGCAAACAAAATATATTGTGTACAAATTTCAAGATTTTTCAGTATCAAATGATTATAGTATTGCAATCCAACTTTCCCAGTAGCTGCATATCAATAAGAGAAAAAATTTAATTTTATTCAGAATAGCCAAGGCATAAGGAGATGATGTAAGAGAATTAAAATATTCCAAAGGCAGTAGGAAGCTGCCACCTTCCAGTTGCATATAAGATACACAAAACCCCAGGATACTAATCCCAAAGAGTGTAAAAGAACTTATAATACATCTATATCCATTAATTATACTCAAAGCCCAGATTAGCATGCATCCGCCTGAGACTTTCTGCAGGTAATAATAAGATTTGCAACCCAGAAAAAGTACCTTAATCGGCATCCAAAGTAAATGGCCAAAACTTGATCACACATCTAACACCTCAACAATTCGGGGAATAAACCAGAAATCATGGATACCCCAGAATCCAAAAACCTATCAAGATTCAGCAAAAGCACATTTGCCAAACTAACTAAACCAAACTTTTCCTATACTTTAACTAACCCAAAAGAAGCCTTGTTATGTATGAAGAAGCTTTCAATGTCCCATTGCTAGCAGCGTAAGAAAAATTGGAAATGTTATCAAGCTTCCAACAAGCATATTCATCGATATCAAACAACCATAACTTCCCCAGATCCTGATGAAGCCCATACACAGAAACAAGCAAATAAAAAATACGAATTAAGCACAATTTGGCCGCGTTAACCTAACCTCCATGAGAGTGACAAGGAGCTGGCGCGCGGCGTCACGAACGGGCTGCTTTCCATCTCCAAGGCGCTCCACAATCGCAGGTACAAGACCATTAATGTGGAGCTTGAGGTGTTCGCCAGCGAGAACGGCGGCGGAGGAGAGCGCCTGCAGCGCCCCCTGTGCCACCCGAAAATTGTTGTCCCGCAGTAGATCCATGCAGCAGTCGACAAGCGAAGATACCTCGCCAGCAGAAAGACTCCGACGAGACGACTCCAGAGACTGGTGAAGCCGCTCAACGGCTGCCAACCGCTCCTTAGTATCCTTAGCCCGCGCCATCTCGAGCGCCTCCTCCATCTCGATTGGTAGGCGAAAGTTAACTATAGGTTAGGGTTTTGGATCTGGATCTATAGGTTAGGGTTTTGGATCTGGATCTGATGTCTTCCCTGGAATCGAACACTAGTCGAGTGGGAGACCGAGATGCCGAAAAAGTGAACGGAGAGAGGAAGTTAGTGATGGATTTCTTCGTGCGTTCGAGTGATAGCCGGAGGCTGTTCAGTGAGCAAAGATAGTACGAATGACACTGTATTTAAGAAAAGTTACGTTGATAAGCCAAAGGGCTTAATTAGATTAATGTAAGCTACGAACATTATGAAGATCTCCACACATATGAGGACATCACATATTAATTTCTTCTCAAGTGACCTATTTATTACTATGTAAAGGCTATAAATGACGCTTAGTTTTACTGACTAAATTTTTTTATTAAAAAGCACTTTCAAAAAATAATAAAAAAATCATCTCAAATTAATAAGGTTTTATTTAGGTAGAAATTATTTTAATTTGACATCGAATCGTACGGAGGTGAATCAGAGCGCGTCACGTCACCCAATACACAGTCATGATACAGTGCAATAGGGTGACGTGACGCGTTTTGATTCATCTCCGGTCGACGCCTGTATCTTCACAGAATAATTTCGCTGATTTAGGATGACTTTTTACTATTTTTAATAATTTTTTTGTAAAACAAAATTTTGAATTAGAAATTTTGTACTAAAAAATTATTTTATAAAATAATAAAAAAATCGTCTCATCCTAAATATTTTTTAGATAGTTTAAATTTTATTATAGGTTTCTTGATAGTTTATCATTTATGAAAAACTATAATACTTTTTTACTTTTGTTTTAATTTTTATTTATTTCAAAAGTGATAATTAAAAATATTAAGAATTGGTGTCCATAAATTTGAAGGAAATAATGTTGTGCGAGCTTATACAACTTGAAGGGATTTGTAACAATATTATAAGTACAAAATCAAATCTTGACCATAATGGTTTAGGGGGTCATCGGATCAAATGTATGATTCAAAATGATTATCTTATTTTTATCTAGGGGTGTAAATGAGTCGAATTTAGGCCCTTACCGAGCTCGGCTCGTTAGTTCGAAAGTGAGCTCGAACTCGAGCTCATCTCATAGTAAACAAGCTCGACCCAGCTCGTGAGTCATGGTCAGGAATTTTAAAATTTATGCATGATTTTTAAGAATTAGGCGGGATTTTTAAAACTTAGAAAAAATTTAGAAAAAAAAAAGATGTAATATTTAACATTTAAATAAAAATTAGGTAGTTTTTTTTATTAATTTTTAATATTTAAATTTAATAAATAAAATTAAATTATTTTAAAAATATTAGTATTTATTCGAGTCGGCTCA